CCGCTGTCCCCGCTGTCCCCGCTGTCCCCTCTTCCCGCGCTCCACGTGCCGTCCCCCGCCGCCCCCCCCCGTTGCCCGTTGCCCTCCGCCCGTTGCCGCTCGCCCCCCCCGGTTGCCCGTTGCCCGTTGCCCGTTGCCCGTTGCCCGTTGTCGCCTCTTTCGAACCAACCCCGGTACCGTCCGAACCCGACGAGAGCGGGGAGGTTCGGGGTGCGCCAACAACCCGCTCTCCTCCTTCACCCATCCCGTTCTAGAATTGAATTTATTTTTTGGGGTTGGCCGGGGTCGGTCGTGGGTGGGGGGTGGGCGCTGTCGCGATTGTCGCGGTGTCGCCGGTGAGGGGCCCATGCGGGCTCTGAGGGCGCTGCGGCCCCGCAGGCTCCTGGCCATGGCGGCGGCGGCGGCGGCGGCGGCGGCGGCCACCGGGGGAGCCCGGAGGGGTCGGGTGTTGACCCCCGAAACGATGAACCCCGCGATCCGCCGGGTGGAGTACGCGGTGCGCGGCCCCATCGTCAGCCGCGCCCTGGAGATCGAGCAGGAGCTGCGAAAGGTACCGGGAAAAAAACCCCCCAAAAAAATCAAAAAAATTAATTTAACCCGAAATTGCCTAAACCGGACCGCAACGGAACCGGAGAATTGGATACCGGGTTGGGAGAATTCGGGATAATCCGGGACTGAAACGGGAAATGGGATCCCGAACCGGGAATAGCGCACGGGAACGGGGACAGCCCGGTCCGGACCGGGATAATCCGGGACTGAAACGGGAAATGAGATCCCGAACCGGGAATAGTGCACGGGAACCGGGACAGCCCGGTCCGGACCGGGACAATCCGGGTTTGAAACGGGACACTCAGTACCGGGGTAGGAGAATTCGGGATAATCCGGCCCCGAACCGGGAAATGAGATCCCGAACCGGGAATAGCCCTCGGGAACCGGGAGAATCTGGACCGGACCGGGATAATCCGGTCCTGAACCGGGACTAGACCCCGGGAACCGGGACATTGAGTCCCGGACAGGGAACAGCGCTCCCTGAACCGGGATAAACTGACCCTGAACCGGGAACAGCCCACGGGAACCGGGACATTCAGTGCCGGACCCGGGATAACCCAAACCCAAACCGGGATAAACCCCCCAAAACCGGGAGAATTCCCCCAAAAAATCGGGATAACCCCCCCCAAACCCGGGAGAATCACCCCAAAACCGGGATAAACGCCCCCAAACCCGGGAGAATTCCCCAAAAAATCGGGATAATCCCCCCCCCAAATAGGGATAATCCTCCCAAAACCGGGATAATCCTCCCAAAAACCGGGAGAATTCCCCAAAAATTCGGAATAATTCCCCAAAAAACCGGGATAATCCCCCTCAAAAATCGGGATAACCCCCCCCAAAACCGGGAGAATTCCCCAAAAAATCAGGATAATCCCCCCAAAAACCGGGAGAATTCCCCAAAACTCGGACACCTCCCCCCAAAATCGAGACCCCCCCCACCCCAAAATTTGGGGTCCCCTCCCCCCTAAATCGGGACCCCCCAAAAAAAATGGAACATCCCAAACTTGGCCCCGTAAGAACCCCCAAAAATTGGGATTTTTCCCCCCAAAAATTGGGGTTTTACTCCCCCAAAATTGGGGTTTTACCCCCCCAAAATTGGGGTTTTACCCCCTAAAAATTTGGG